AGGCCCTAACACATATATGTATCCTGTGTTCATTACTGTAAGAGCAGGAATTTCTGTTCACGATTTTACATATTTATTTAATAACACTTGCAAACCCGTCCCTTGAAAATGGTTTGAGCATTTTTGATATGTGGCCTGACTGTTTTTAGATGAATACCAATGTACTTCAACTACAATTTGAATATGTAAATTAATGTATGTACCACTGTGTAGGGTGACCAGATGTCCCGTTTTTAAGAACATAAGAATGGCCGTACTGGGTCAGACCAAAGGTCCATCCAGCCCAGTATCCTGTCTACCGACAGTGGCCAATGCCAGGTGCCCCAGAGGGAGTGAACCTAAAAGGTAATGATCAAGTGATCTCTCTCCTGCTGTCCATCTCCACCCTCTGACAAACAGAGGCTAGGGACACCATTCCTTACCCATCCTGGCTAATAGCCATTAATGGACTTAACCTCCATGAATTTATCTAGTTCTCTTTTAAACCCTGTTATAGTCCTAGCCTTCACAACCTCCTCAGGCAAGGAGTTCCACTAGTTGACTGTGCGCTGTGTACTGTGATCTGGCACACCAATTTAATTCAGAAGAGCAGTACCAAAGAGATGTTCTTCAGCATGTGGTGGCAGTTATAAAGTTTTTAAGTGCTCATGGGTTTGGCTTCCATGGCCAGGATGATGTATTAGAATCCGAAAGCATTGGAAATTATTTTGGGATTTTGGAACTAATATCACAGTTTGAGTAATTTCTGGCTGACCACCTAGCTACATTTGGACAGAAGGGGAAAATTAAGCCCTCCTATATGTCGTCAGCTGTCTCTGATATTCATTGAATTGATGGGAATGATAATTAAAAATACTATAGCAGCAGAATTACAGCAAGCCAAATATTTTTCTGTAACTGTTGATATAACTCCTGATGTAGTGCATGTAGACCAGCTCACATTCATCTTCTGATTTCTCAATTCAGAGGGGCATATAAATGTGAAATTCATTGAGTTTCAGCTACCTGAGAACCACATGTGCAAATGGCCAAAGCTGTGGTGGCTATGATAAAAAAATAAGTTTTGGATGTGTCTGTCTGCTGTGGACAACCGTATGATAATACTACGTTCAGTCGGAGTCAACAGTGTTAACAATTGCTCAGATGCAGTCATTTTTGGGGGGCTATGCAGTGACTCTATTCTTTCCACTCTGCCTCAATATATTGATGGAAATCCATTTCCACAACATAAATACTGACACTAGCCAGAGATTGTTGACTCTCAAAAGTCTGTCAGATACTCAGTGGTGTAATTGTGCCGATTCTACCAAGCCATTGTGTCAAAACTATAGAAGTATTCAACAAGCCTTGGAAGGTCTTTCAAAAAATATAAATCAGCCTCCGGACACTTGTTTATATGCAACTTATCTTCAGATGAAAATGGAACAATTGGAGACAGCTGTCATGGCACTCTTTTGTACACTGTGCTTCAGCAGTTCAAACTGACCAGCACCCAGCTACAGAAGATGGACATAGATCTAAGTGTTGGTGTTAATGTACTGTGCTCCCTGGATATTTGTTGGGATATTATGTGAACAGTTTGAGGATTTTGAATTCAGTGCAAAGAAAATGTGTATGCTACTTGTGAATACAGTATATTCTACTTATTAGCAATCCCTCGGAAATGGCAGAAAAAAGTTGCCATTATCTGGCAGTTGCTAATAAGCGAAAGGCAGGTTTGCGAGGCTGCAGCCAGGGAAGGAATTGCTGGGATGTGCCTGCCCTGGCTTCAGCCCTGCAAACCTTCCTGTGGCAGGTGCTCCGTATGTCCCAATGCTTCCTTCCCTGGCTGCAACCTCATAAACCTGCCTGCAGATGTAGCCTTTCTTCCAAAAACAATATTGTTAATAAGTGGCATGCCATTGCCAATATCCAAATCCCATTAATATTAAAGTCATTGGGTTGGGATTGGTTCCTGGCAAAATTTTGCTAGTAACTGGAAGTCGTTAATATCCGGATCACTAGTAAGTGGAATCTGTTGTACTGTCAACATGAGTGTGTCGTCCCCGTAAAAGAAAACCAATTGAGGGTGAGTCTGAAGAGGCAGTAGAGCCAGTACTTGAATGAAGCCATCAGTTTTGCACTGAAACATTTTTTTGAAAGAACTGACAAACTTGCAGCTTGTCTACGTCACAGACTGGATGCTTTCAATGTGCTATATGAGTGCTTTGAAGACCTGTTTAAACTGGGTTCAGTGTATGCAGGGCCGCCCAGAAGGGGGGCAAGTGGGGCAATTTGCCCCAGGCCCCGCAGGGGCCCCCACGAGAATATAGCATTCTATAGTATTGCAATTTTTTTTTATCGAAGGGGCCCCCGATATTGCTTTGCCCCAGGCCCCCTGAATCCTCTGGGCGGCCCTGAGTGTATGTCAATGAAGTTCACAGATATACAGCAGTTTATCCTCAAGACTTGGACCAAAACTTTCTTGTCTGGTGTCTACATTTTCTAAAGTTGACACTGGCCTATGAATTTTTCTCAACCTATCCGTGACTAAATGTGAAGGAGAGCAGTCATTTTCAAAGATGGATAGGATAAAAAAAGAACCAAGATCCACAGTGCAGCAAAACAGTTTGAATGCTTTTGAGGGAACAGAATTGGTCCAAGAAATGAACTTTGCCAACCTAATCACTGACTTTAGTTTGCTTAAATCTCAGAAAAAAACAGCTGCAAACAAAAGGTATGAATTGTTTTGTATAGCTTTTACAGTGAGAGAAATGCCCATAGCAATGGTATTTGTTTTTTTTCACCTATCAGACACACCATTCACTATGTTACATTATTAATTATAGTGTATGTTTGTTACTGCATTTCAGTTATTTGTGTTTACAATGCATTGCTTTACCTCTATGGCTAATTTTTTGCTGTTACGTCTTTATCAAAAACAAAAATTACTATCTTAGAAATTAGTCTTAAAAGCTTGAAAAATAAGCCTGATTATAATTTGGGTTGTTTATTGAACACAGTGTCAGTATGAAACACTACATTTTTATGAAATATCAGAGAATTAGAATAGTGTATATCAGGTCTCTAGAGATAGCTGTTTTGATATCAATGCCTATTTTTGCTTTTTTATAAATTGTTTTGGAGAAGAATTGATAAGACAAAGTCTGCGCAAAGTTGGGTAGTAATTCTAGATGATCTTGCTCTAGTGAATACTGTTTCTGAATTCCACTATATTTGGCTGCAGCAGTAGTCTGTACATGAAACCAAATTGCTCTATTTCTGCTTCCTTTGTAGTGAACTAGTTATCTGTTTTCTCTGTCAGTCCTTGCATGGAATTGCTAAAGTGTTTAGTGTCTAAATTGACATGCGATATTGAGCAGGCAGTACTTCTGAGGAAATGTATTAACTATAAATATTAATTGCTAGCTAAAGCTAATTCTTAATGTCAGCTATGGTGCATGTTTTGTTCCCTTATTCTGTTAATTCTTTAAATAACAGGTTTTTCATCGTATCAGGAAGGTTCAAAGTTTTGGGGGGTTTTCGATTGTTTTTTCAGGAGGTGGCTTAGAATATGTGCCCAAGGCCATGAGAGTTGTTAATCCAGCCCTGAGCCCTGACCTTACTCACCCTTATTGAATGAGCTAGATCTTTTACGATGCTGGGTCTAGGGCAGGGATTGGCAACCTTTGGCACGCAGCCCATCAGGGAAATCCTGAAAATGGGTTTATTTACCTGCAGTGTCCGCAGGTTCGGCCGATTTGCAGCTCCCACTGGTCGCGGTTCACCGTTCCAGGCCATTGGGGGCTGTGGGAAGTGGCGACCAGCGCATCCCTGGGCCCGCGCCGCTTCCCGCAGCCCCCATTGGCCTGGAATGGCAAACCGCGGACAGTGGGAGCTGCGATTGGCCGAACCTGCGGACGCTGCAGGTAAACAAACCGGTCCCCGCCCGCCAGCGGATTTCCCTGATGGGCTGCGTGCCAAAGGTTGCCAATCCCTGGGCTAGGGTAATTGTCAAACTTTGTTTGGGGACTGGAAAGAATTTTTCCCATATGGCAAAATTGGCAAACTGCTGTGTAGGGGTTTTCACCTTCCATTCAGCATATCTGAGGTCTGGATTTGGACGAGGTAAATTACATTGTCACAACTTTAGCAGGCTCCATTGTGGTTGGTGGGTTAAAAAATGGTCAAATGTGAATCCCCTGTAACCCAGTGGGCTGCTTGGGCATGAGCTCAGAGCAATTTGTTGCATGATGATGGGGTGTGTCTTGTTCAGTGTATGGCTCCCCTTTTCTCCATTCTCCTGTCTTCTTCATGGAGGAAGGGAGCAGGATAGACTCTGACTTCCAGAGCAGGCCTGAGCATGTAAAGAGGGTATTGCCCTCACATGTGCCTGTCAAGTTTGTAGAATCAGGCACCATTGTTACCCAGTTGAAATCCACACTGGAACAGCCCAGCTAGGTAGTATTGGGGAATGGTCTCCATTGGTTAAGGGTTTTAGTAAAGTTGTGGCCTCTGCATTTAACCATATCGTGGTGTATGTGCCTCCTTGTTTCTGTGTCCATGTCAAATTGTGGTCTGCTTGCATACAGGACTTTCAGTAGCAATCTCTGTAGAAGAGTCTAAGGTAAAGAGGAAGTACATGAGAAATAGTAAACAGCCATCTATAAAGAGAAGCAAAATTGTAAAATACGGTATCCTTTATAAAATAGTATATTGAACCCATGTTCAGAAGTTACAAAAAACTACATCCTTGGCTGGAGTAAAATCCAAAGAAGTCTAATGCTCTGATGTTGCCAGATGTTTAATAGTTAAATCATAACTGACTTCTCCTAACCTATGATTCCACTCCTGCTGTAAATAACCCAGAATTCAGGGCATTTTTCAGAAATGGAATAGAAACTGCCAAAAATGCTAGTCGTATCTTCCATTTCTTCCTCACAGCACATTGATGTAATTAACTTTAATTTCATTTAATTATTTATTTAAGAATCATTAGGATCTTTGTTCCTATATTGCAGATAGCTGGTGCTTTATGGTGGTACTTCGTCTCAAAAGGAATTGAGTACTTGGACACAATATTTTTCATCCTGAGGAAGAAATTTAACCAAATCAGTTTCCTTCATGTCTATCACCATTTCACTATGTTCACCTTGTGGTGGATTGGTATCAAGTGGGTTCCAGGAGGACAAGGTGAGTGAACTGTCTTTTTCTCTTAAGGCAATATAGACATAAGAGTGAGAATCAGCCTATTTGGAATTAATAAAAAACCAGTATTTCATGGAGTTAACTGAATACTATATGATAAGTCTATTCAAACAGCACTGGATCATAGCAGTTACATAAGTGTAACTTCCTTCTGTGTGAAATGAGGGGGAGGAAGAGAGAACAGAGCTGTAGTTTTATGAATTGCAAAACACTTTACTCACAGGCATCAAATGCAAGACTGAAATTCCATTTTTACAAATTCCCTCTTTAAAAAAATTGTCACCTTGCTATATGGAGCAGGTAGATAAATTTGTCTCTCTCACCAGAAGTTGGTCCAATAAAAGATAATACCTCACCCACCTTGTCTCTCTAATATCCTGGGACCGATACAGCTACAACAACCCTGCCTAATCTAACATTTTGCAGCTACAGAGAACTAGGAATCAGAACTATGGGCCAGTTGCTTCCCTGTTACTCCAGTCTAAATCCATTGAAGTTAATGGAGCTATTCTGAATTTTTACTAGAATAGAAGTTGGCCCTATAACTGAGTTTTGGGTTTGTTTTGTTTTATAACAAAACAAGTATCAAAATCTGAATTACTCATTTGAAGGTTAGCAATAAACCCGTGTCAATCAGTTGTAGAAGCTTTATAATGACGCAAATCTATAATTAACGTTCTTTTCCTTTCTGTTCCTATAAATTTCACATCAAGGAAATCTTACTTCCATTGTTTTCTCTACACCCTTCTTTTCCTGCATTGTTCCCCTGTGTCATGTCTTGCTTTGCCTTGTCTCTCTCGAATTCTGCTGAGGCAGAGGTTGGAAGAAAATGTCCCATTCTGTTTGTAAAGGGCTGTAAAAATAACTATAAAAATAATTTGCAATAATAATCCATGCAATCCAGACTAAAATTAATCCTTTGTTAAAATATTCATATATTAAAATATATTTTGGATTTTTTACACACTCACACACTATATGTAGATTAGAATATAAAATGTGTGGTTATATAAATATTTCAGCCCATGGGCTGAAATTCATATCTACAGCTTTGCGTACAGGAGTTGGAGGATGGAATTCTCCCCAATCCAGCCTTAGGGTGAGAGGAATCCTGGGTTCACTGCGTGTGCAGTTATTACTGTTCACTGTACTCATTACATGAGGTTTGTGACCATTGAATATGTGCAGTTTGTAGTCCCAACTACCATTTTCCAGTGAACCCCTTACCTTTTAGCCCCTTATAGTTTGATCTTGTAAGTTGCTGAGTGCCCTCGACTCCCATAAACCTATGCAAGGGGCCATTTCAAAGCTCAGCTCAACTCTGTGGTCCAGTTGTTTAGTCTCTACAATTCCTGGTACCAACAGAAGAAATGCAGCAGGTCTGTGTTGTGGCCCTTCTGCAGCAACAGTGGCCTGGCATGGGGTCAGGATTTCACCGAATATAAACTAGGATACGTGTCAAGTTGTTACAGATTTCTTTGTGTATATCTGTTCCCAGGAGCGCTGCCAGCTTTTCTGCCGCCCTAGGCAGCGGAAGGTCCTGCCCCGAAATGCCGCCCCCCACAGAGGCGGCGGAAGGTCCTGCCGCCGAAATACTGCTGCGGTCGCCACCCTCCAAATTGTAGCGCCCTAGGCAACTGCCTAGGTTGCCTAATGGGTTGCGCCGGCCCTGTCTGTTCCACTGTTTTCTAGCAGATGACACATTGCCTACATACCAGCACGTCTAAATTTTCTATCAGAGTGCCAATTCACAATAATTCGTAACAACAACGAATAGTCATGGGGTCAGGGAAAGAGTGAGAATGATTCTATAGCCTGGTGGTTAGGCCACTCCCCTATGATGTAGGAGACCCAAGTGCAAGTCCCTGCTCCCGGTGACTGTTCATTTCTCCAAAGTAATACACCTTTAACAGGAGAGATTGAGTAAGATTCATGCCATAATATCAGGACACTCTCTTGAGAGATGGGAGAACTAAATTCTAATTCTTCCTGCTTATTAGCCAGACAGGAATTGAACTAGGGTCGCCTACATTCTGAGGGAGCTGCCTAGTCACTAGGCTACAAGGGAGGCTAACTTCTCTGTCCCCACCCCACTTGCTCTTCCTCAAGACCTGCAAGAGGTCATTCACCAGTACCAGCAGCTGCAAAGGTGACACTGAAGAAGTGGCAGGCATGGATGTGCACAGCAAAAAGGGGGTGGGCTCAAGCATGTTGTTTAATGTTGCTTTGGGGCCCACCCAAAAGACTTTTCCAAGCATCAGCAGGGGAGCAGTAAAAATGTTATAAAAGTGTGTGAGAAGTTTTTCAAAAGTAAAAATTCTTTACATGCTATATTTTGAATGAATCAATTTTTGAAAATTCAAGTTGACAAGTGTCTCTTTAAGGTTGAGCCGTACATGAGGATTTTCAAATGAAATTACAGGGAAATCCTACAGTCCATGTTGCCAAAAAAAAAGTATTACTGTCTTGCAAGGGGTATCCTACCCTGCAGAGGAAATTACCATGAGTTCTGGCAAGAAAAGACACTCTCGCCTGCATGACAGTAATCCTTTAGGCAATGTTAGCTGTGTAGCAATGTGTGATTTGCTGTTTGGAATCCTAGGCCATCACTACTTTGCAGATGTATAGTATCTGTTAGAACATGCATGTCTAAAGTGCAACTATTAATTTTTTTTTAAAGATTGAAGTATATTTACTATCTAAATAATATTTTTCATAGAATCATAGAACTGGAAGGGACCTCGAGAGGTCATCTAGTCAAGTCCCCTACACTCAAGGCAGGACTAAGTATTACTAGACCATCCCTGACAGGTGTTTGTCCAACTTGCTCTTAAAAATCCCCAATGATGGAGATTCACAACCTCCCTAGGCAATTTATTCCAATGCTTAATGACTCTGACAGTTAAGAAGTTTTTCCTAATGTCCAACCTAAACCGCCCTTGCTGCAATTTAAGCCCATTGCTTCTTGTCCTATCCTCAGAGGTTAAGAAGAACAATTTTTCTCCCTCGTCCTTGTAACAACCTTTTATGTACTTGAAAACTGTTATCATGTCCCCTCTCAGTCTTCTCTTCTCCAGACTAAACAAACCCAGTTTTTTCAATCTTCCCTCATAGGTCATGTTTTCTAGACCTTTAATCATTTTTGTTGGCTCTTCTCTGGACTTTCTCCAATTTGTCCACATCTTTCCTGAATTGTGGTGACCAGAATTGGACACAATACTCCAGTTGACGCCTAATCAGCACGGAGTAGAGCGGAAGAATTACTTCTCATGTCTTATTTACAATAGTCCTGCTAATATATCCCAGAATGATGTTTGCTTTTTTTGCAACAGCGTTACACTGTTGACTCATATTTAGCTTGTGATCCACTATGACCCCCAGATCCCTTTCCGCGGTACTCCTTCCTAGGCAGTCATTTCCCATTTTGTATGTGTGCAACAGATTGTTCCTTCCTAAGTGGAGTACTTTGCATTTGTCCTTATTGAATTTCATCCTATTTACTTCAGACCATTTCTCCAGTTTGTCAAGATCATTTTGAATTTTAATCCTATCCTCTAAAGCACTTGCAACCCAACCCCTCCCAGCTTGGTATCGGCTGCAAACTTTGTAAGTGTAATCTCTATGCCAGTATTTAAATCATTGATGAAGATACTGAACGGAATCAGACCTACAACTGATCCCTGCAGGACCCCACTCGTTATGCCCTTCCAGCATGACTGTGAACCACTGACAACTACTCTCTGGGAACAGTTTTCCAACTAGTTTTGCCACCACCTTATAGTAGCTCCATCTAGGTTGTATTTCCTTAGTTTGTTTATGAGAAGGTCAAGCGAGACAGTATCAAAAGCCTTACTAAAGTCAAGATATACCACATCTACCGCTTCCCCCCCTATCTACAAGGCTTGTTACCCTGTCAAAGAAAGCTATCAGGTTGGTTTGACACAATTTGTTCTTGACAAATCCATGCTGACTGTTATTTATCACCTTATCATCATCTAGATTTTTGCAAATTGATTGCTTAATTATTTGCTCCATTATCTTTTCAGGTACAGAAGTTAAGCTGACTGGTCTGTAATTCCCCGGGTTGTCCTTATTTCCCTTTTTATAGATGGGGACTATATTTGCCCTTTTCCAGTCTTCTGGAATGTCTCCCGTCTTCCATGACTTTTCAAAGATAATTGTTAATGGCTCAGATAGCGCCTCAGTCAGCTCCTTGAGTATTCTAGGATGCATTTCATCAGGCCCTGGTGATTTGAAGACATCTAACTTGTCTAAGTAATGTTTAACTTGCTCTTTCCCTATTTTAGACTCTAATCCTACCTCATTTTCACTGGCATTCATTATGTTAGACATCCAATCGCCACCAACCTTCTTGGTGAAAACCGAAATAAAGAAGTTATTAAGCACTTCTGCCATTTCCACATTTTCTGTTTATTGTCTTTCCCCCCTTATTGAGTAATGGGCCCACTTTGTTCTTGGTCTTCCTCTTGCTTCTAATATATTTGTAGAATGTTTTCTTTTTTTCCTTTTATGTCCCTAGCTAGTTTGATCTTGTTTTGTGCTTTGGCTTTTCTAATTTTGTCCCTACATACTCGTGTTATTTGTTTATATTCATCCTTTGTAATTTGACCATGTTTCCACTTTTTGTAGGACTCTTTTTTGAGTTTTAGATCACTGAAGATCTCCTGGTTAAGCCAGGGTGGTCTCTTGCCATACTTCCTATCTTTCCTACTCAGTGGGATAGTTTGCTCTTGTGCCCTTAATAATATCTCTTTGAAAAACTGCTAACTGTCTTCAATTGTTTTTCCCCTTAGACTTGCTTCCCATGGGATTTTACCTATCAACTCCCTGAGTTTGCTAAAGTCTGCCTTCTTGAAATCCATTGTCTTTATTGTGCTGTTCTCCCTCCTACCATTCCTTAGAATCATAAACTCTACCATTTCATGATCACTTTCACCCAAGTTGCCTTCCACTTTCAAATTCTCAACCAGTTCCTCCCTATTTGTCAAAATCAAATCTAGAACAGCCTCTCCTGCTGTTGCATCCTAATCAAACAGTGCTTTCTACTGAAAAGTTTTCAGGCCAAGATTTTCAAGAGTGAGTGCCTAAAGTTTGACATTCAAGTCCATATTTTAAGGGCTTGTCTACACATGTTCCTGATGAACTCCATATTTGCGGTGCTACTTCTGGTTAGGTTAACCCACAGGAACAAGGCACTCTTATTCTGAAATAAGAGTGTCCACACATGGAGTTAATTGGGAACAACTCCATCGATACTTAAGTCCTTAGACACCTATGTAAGTGGTTCTGGTTTTCAGGAGACTGTAATTCATTGATGTTAATGGATGTTGCTGGGTGCTCAGTTGTTTTGAAAATCATTCTATGTATTTGGGTGCCTAATTTTAGCCATCCGTAGATGGCAATATTAGCCTAAATGTAAAGAATTATTAAATGTTAAGGGCAATCCTGAAATATCAGTGCTATTGTTTTAAAGTTCATTTTTTTAACAATAGATTGTTAAAAGTGGTGTATTGCATGTTGCAAACACCCATATAATTTTGCTTATGTGAGTAGTCCCATTGAAGTTAGTGGGACTACTCACATGACCAAGTTACTTAATTTTGGTACATGTTTATAGGCTCAAGCCTACATAGTCAAACCTGTCTAATGGACAAAAGATGTGGATTTCAACTTAAGTTCAGTTTTTATGCATATTACTATTAGTGCTGACAATACATACAAGATTGTAAGTACAAAATGTGCCAATTTTATTTTTACTGTGTAATACAAAAAAATAGAGGTAACTTTTTGGTTTTCATGTTTAAAAATAACACTATGGTTTTTTTGTTTGTTTGTTTGTTTTTTTTTTTTATATCTGAACAGCTTTTTTTGGAGCCCAAATGAATTCTTTTATTCATGTTGTTATGTACATGTACTATGGATTAGCTGCCTGTGGCCCTAAATTTCAGAAATATCTGTGGTGGAAACGATACTTGACCATATTACAATTGGTAAGTAAAATCTCTCTCTAAATTTGCTGTCTGTCTGTCTGTCTGTCTGTCTGTCTGTCTCTCTCTCTCTCTCTCTCTCTCTCTCCCTGTCAAACGAAAGGTGTACCAGCCAAGCACGAGGCTGGATGGCTGTCACTTATTCACAGATCAAGTCAGAAGTTGATATATTTCTAGAAGTGCAATGGACTTTTGAAATAATTACACATAAAATTGCTATTTGATTATTCTTTAAAACAATCAAAATATGCAATTAGCCAATAATAGTAATTAAACTGTTATTTTGCTTTTGCAAAATAATCAAATCTGTATCAGTTTGATTATAGTGGCATGACAGAAATAATGAACACCTGATTACCAGTCGGCAGTTATACCATGAAACTATTCTGTGCCCTTAACGTAATCTCTTATTTCAAAGGAAAAGACAATCACTGTAAAGTTCTATATTTAATCTTCTTATTTACACAGCAGCACCTGCTAGTGCAGACTGTAGTTAAGCGTCTGATGATGTTTCCATTAGTTCTTTTTACATTTTTAAATGAATTTTAGTGTTAGTGAAACAGCATTGGTGATTGAAGCATGTATTTCAAACCTCAGAGCAGGTGCAACACACAAAGTGATGACAGTTTCCTAACGGTGCCCTACTGAGCTATTTCAACTCTGAACTACCAGGGATCTCCTCTAAGGGGAGAAAGCCTCCAGGTCTATTCATTTCCTGGTTTCTCAGACTGTCAAGAAGAGTGTCCTTTGGTTCCAGCTGTGAATTATGGGTTTTGTGTTGTGTGAACAAAAATCCATAATGTGCTAGGCTGAGTCCACTTACTCTTTCCACATAAACTACCAAACAGCAGCCAAGAGGTAATGACTTGCAATCACTGTTGGGCTGTGGCATATAATGGGGTAAGCGATAAGCAGTCACTCCCATTTTCATTTTTTAATGTCACAGATCAAAGATTTTTCTTAGATAATTTCTTCTTTGCCCAAACTTTCTTTTCCCCTGTACATGATGATAGTATGTATTGTATTAAATTATGATCTACATGCTGTGTTTTATAATAAATCTTTAAAAATATATAGACCAAAGGTTGTATATTGTATGCTACTTTTTACAGTAAGTACCCGTGCGCCAATCCATGTCCATATTTTTTTTTAATCATGGGGCCTCAGAACAGAAAAGTAATTCTGTATTCCTTATCAACTTCAAAATGTAGGCTTGAGTTAACTGGCAGATGTAAAATTTAAAAGGCTTTTTCCTGTTGTTTTTATAGGCCTTGTCTATGCACAAACTTGCACCAAAATAACTGAATCAGTTTTAATACGCACCTTTTGTTAATTCAGTGCAAGTCTGTGTGTAGACACTTTTAATTCAGTCAGAATAGGATAGTTGTATTCTGAAAGACGTGTCCACAAGCAGACTTGCACTGAAATAACAGACCGTTTAAATTAAGACTCATTTAATTTGTTATTTCAGTGTGAGGTTGTAGGTAGAGCAGCCCTTAGCCAGGCCTTTACAATAGTTGTCTCTGTATGGTAAATAAAAATAGTGGTTGGAGCTGAGGGAAAGGAAGAGCTTTTTAAAATAATTTGATTAAATTTAAAAAGAATTATTTGTAAGCATTGAAGGCTTGACCTTCCTCAGCAGTAGAGGGAGGGAATAGTAGGGAGTGGAGCCATCTTTGGCAACAGGGTTTGGAGGGTATCAGAAGTTGAGGTGCCCATGTTTGTAATCAGCGTATGCATACGTTGTTTTGAGACCAGAGTTCTGGTTCCTAGAGTACTGAGATTTGTGTAGCTGCTGTGCAGCTTTCCATGATCTCGGGGGGATAGCTCAGTGGTTTGAGCATTGGCCTACTGAACCCAGGGTTGTAAATTCAATCCTTGAGGGGGCCATTTAGGGATGAGGGGCAAAAATCTGTCTGGGGATTGGTCCTGCCTTGAGCAGGGGGTTGGACTAGATGACTTCCTGACGTCCCTTCCAACCCTGATATTCTATGATTCTGTGACAGATACTGTAAAGGAACAGCAGTCTAATCTCTAGTAACTTCCTTATAAAACTTAATGCCGTGAATGTAAATGTTTTACTACTGTTTGTATTTGTTAGTGTAGAGAAATATTGCAATTATATATTACTTATGTAAACCATGAATTGTGTTTTTCTTTATAATTAATACATTATTGTATTTTCAATAAAAGTTGGTATAGTCAAACCTAATATAGCATCAAATGGCTTATTATGCAATATTTTCTTTTTTTCAGATTCAGTTCCACGTGACTCTTGGCCACACAGCCATGTCTATTTATATCGACTGTCCCTTCCCTAAATGGATGCACTGGGGTGTAATGATCTATGCTGTCACCTTTATTTTCTTGTTTGGTAACTTCTACTATCGGACATATAAAATGCCCAAGGAACCCATTAAGAATGGCAAAATAGTGAATGGTGCTGTTGCAAACGGTGTAAGCAAACTAGAAAACAATCTAGTGGTGGAAAATGGAAAAAAGCAGAAAAAGGAAAAAGCAAAAGGAGAGTAACTTATCCAGGCCTTAACCATTGCTGGCAGTGGGGAACCTCCAGTTTGGTTTAAAAAGAAAAAGGAGGGGAAAAAAAGAAACACAATGTACCAATTAACCCTTAGGTTACCGAAGAGCTAGAACACAGATATTTTCATTATTTATGAAGATTGTTTTAACAAAAATACTTCAAGTTAAATTGCTGTTGTAATTATGTAATTATCAAGCATTTGATGATCTCTGTGTAAACTTTTAGACTGCTGGTGCTGGTGAATGTAAGAAAGAATTGCAGTAAATAACATGTTTTAGCAGTCCAAAGGTTAATATTACCAATGATCCAATGATTTGTTGAAGCCCACATTTCTATGTGGAAAAGGGCAGCTTTTGAATATTTCTGTTTCTGCCAGAAATTTATTAAATTCCAAATTATGATGTTGTATGTTTTTATCTGAAAATACAAACTCTTATCATTAATTAGAGATATCTCAAGACACAGTTATGTTTATATGCTGAACAGAGTCTGTTGACTTATCAGACTCTCCTTGTTTTGATTTAGTGTCTGCTACAATTTTTCTTCTATTGTGGAAATATACCTACCTCTTAATCTGCTGAAAAGAACATTTAACATTAAATAACTTTAATTTCTGAAATATGGAGTCTTCTAATATAAATGTCAGTTAATGCTAATTGGAGAAAGAAATTGCTTTCCTGAAAAAATACATTTTCACCTGTTTTGTAGAATTATCATCTGTCTCTTTCAATGCAAGCTTGGAATGGTATTTTGGATGTGATTAAATGGGGAAAAAACTTTAAAAAAATATATTTATATGAAACAAAGTACATCTCACAGCCTAAAATAATCCATCTGATGTAAGGTTATTCTACCTTGTCCCCCACCTGCATTAAACCCATGGTGCTAACACTCAAAATGATTGTATGGTGTTATGGTGAGGGGGAACATACTGTAGAACTTAATCCTTCTTTTGCAAATGCTACGTGCATTCGACGCCAGTCACGTTTAAATAGAAAACAGGCACACTTCATCAGGAGAGAGAATCTGCCGTTAAAGTATGTCTTTACAGCAAATACATTGCAGGTATATTCTGGAAATATCTACCCATAAGTTGGTCTTGCATCTTAGTATTTTGATGATTGTAGACTACACATCTGGTATTGTTTGCAGGCCACTGCCTAATGCAAATGATAGAGGTAGATTGGCTGGCATTCCTCCAATAGTGCTGGCTCTTGTCAGTCTAAGGCTAGGTCTACACTACAGCGGGGGGTCGACCTAAGATACGCAACTTCAGCTACGTGAATAGCGTAGCTGAAGTGGCGTATTTTAGGTCGACTTACCTGGCTGTGAGGACGGCGGCAAGTCGACCGCTGCCGTCGACTCCGCTACCGCCTCTTGCCGCGGTGGATTTCCGGAGTCGACGGTAGAGCCATCAGGGATCGATTTTATCGCGTCTTCACTAGATGCGGTAAGTCGATCCCCGATAGACCGATTGCTACCCGCCGAATCGGCGGGTAGTGAAGACGTGCCCTTAGTTACAGGGTTGCTCTGCCTATCATTCCTTAGTCAAAACAGCTATAAGAAGACAAAGCCTTTTTATATAGCACTTCACAAAGATTAAGCTTTCCTTCTGTGAGGAAAGCATGGCAGTATTTCTTATTCCTTTTCTGTTTAGATGGATACTGAGGCATGGAGAATTGTCACTTGTTCCAGCTCACAATGAATATGATGGGACTGGGACTCGAACGTAGAGCTCTTAACTCCTAGTTCTCTGTTTAGATCCCAAGAGCTGTCCTGCTGGTTCCCAGATACATTTCTGACATTTGTGGTTAAAAACAGGTGCATCACTAGTCAGCTCTCTTACACTGAGGAAATGGTACAATTTTTAAAGTAAAGAATTTATAAGAAGCTCTGTATGTAGAAGTTAAAATATCCAACACAATTTAAAAATTTTAACTGTTATCCATCCGCCCTATAATAAACAATAGGCAAACAAAACCAACACTTCTTCTGTTACTATGTTTCTGTCCTTCCCCATTTTACTGAAAACTCTCTCTGTATCCAAATACCAAGATAGGAATGCAAGGAAGAAAACTTGAGGACATAGCCTGTAGTACTGGAAATGGGGATTAAATTGGAAGTCAGTTCTTCAGTAGTAAGCCCTCTTCCTACCCCCAAGCAGAATACATGACAGGGTACTGGATGACTAGAGCATAGAGGCTTTATTGCACTGGAACTGCATTAATTATCCTATTGGCTTAGTCTTGATGCTTTCCAAAAATACTCTGGATTTGTACAAATGTATATTTCTGTGAAATGATAGTCATAAAGCATGTGGGAGGGGAAAAGGGTCGAGGTCTTTCTCAAACAAATCTGCATGTATTCTCCCTACTTCTAGTAAACTAGCATTTTGGCTTGGATGCTTTTATTTCCTTTCTTTTTAAGCCAAATTAAATAAAGTGATGCATACATGTAACATCTTCTGGCTCCTAAAGAGCCTCTCGAGAAATGTTCTGGTACAGGTTCAGTTATCTCTCTGCCACATCTTTGAAATAAAAATTTCATCTTGCATGTTGACCAGTATTTGGGAACCAAATTCCCACTTACTGTATGCATCAAATATGCACATAAGGATGAAAACAGCTGAAGCCTATGGCAGGAAGTTAGGCAAATCTTACATTGGAATTTTGGGTCTATGACTTTGGAATTCTGGGTCAGCTGGTGATTGTAAATGGGGAGCTTGCTGGTGGTAAAACTACATTCTGAGTGAATCCAGGTGCAGGCACAGCTCTTATGTCAGCTGGGCTCACAGGCAAAGCCAGTTATAGAGATCTTTCCTGGCATACTGCTATACATAGCGTTTACCAACATTGTCACTGAGGTAGCATTGAGCCTGCAGCATCCGTCCTCTGCTACAGGGTTTTCCTTGATCCAGTTCTTGTCTATTGATGCCCGTATGATTCAGTCTTACTTTGAGCCTGAGTATGATGTCTCTTATTGGTGGAGCGTTCTGCAGTTTGACGAATGGCATAGCATGGCTGTGAGTGGAATACTTCTACTTTCTTTCTATTCCTTCCTGTGTCTGAGAAGCCAGAGCTGCAGAACACAGCCGAAGTTGACATTTTGCAGTTCATCCTCTTTCCTCAGGTTTGAGGCAGTAATGCACATGTATGCACTGCTAGAAACTCACTGTCTTGCCCATTCTGTGCCTTGCCTGATTGTCCATGGCACCTCAGAATTTGGCTCCAGATGTAGACAAAGTAGAATGCATGTGAAAATACGTGTACAGATACACAAAATTAAAACTTAAGTGCTGAAAATTTGTATAGTGAATTATTTTTTTGCTATTCACTTTTTATATAATCATGACTCTATTTAACCATTTGGCAACTAGGACTTTTCCATTGAAAGGGATGTCTTTCCTAAGAAATTTTGAAATCTTTGGACCAATCAGCTGTCATACCACTTGTACCTGATCCCACACATATCTCCTCAACCCTATTTCCCATAGTGAAACTTCATCTCTTGATAACTTAATTTTTTTTAAAGCAAACTAGGATTTATATATGTTCTTAACAGGTACTCCCAATTTGAGAAGTAACTGATAAGTTTTAAATAGGACGTTTGGATGCTTCTAGGGATTAACCACCAAAACCAAGCTGCTTTCATTGATTATAGCTCTGATGCCAGGCATTTCAAACGTGAATGGCATTTGTTGGTCATTTTAGGCATAGGGTGCTGGGAACCTCACAATGCCCCTTGTTCAAATGTAAAATAGCAGATTGAGGGATGTGATCATTCCCCTCTATTCAACATTGGTGAGGCCTCATCTGGAGTACTGTGTCCAGTTTTGGCCCCCGCACTACAAGAAGGATGTGGAAAAATTGGAAAGAGTCCAGCGGAGGGCAACAAAAATTATTAGGGGGCTGGAACACATGACTTATGAGGAGAGGCTGAGGGAACTGGGCTTGTTTAGTCTGCAGAAGAGAAGAATGAGGGGGGGATTTGATAGCTGCTTTCAACTACCTGAAGGGGGGTTCCAAAGAGGATGGATCTAGACTGTTCTCAGTGGTGGCAGATGACAGAACAAGGAGTAATGGTCTCCAGGGCCACCCAGGGGGGGGGGCAAGTGGGGCAATTTGCCCCGGGCCCCAAAGGGGCCCTCACGAGAATATAGTATTCTATAGTATTGCAACTTTTTTTTATGGAAGGGGCCCCTGAAATTGCTTTGCCCCGGGCCCCCTGAATCCTCTGGGCAGCCCTGATGGTCTCAAGTTGCAGGGGGGGAGGTCTAGGTTGGATATTAGGAAAACCTTTTTCACTAAAAGGGTGGTGAAGCACTGGAATGGGTTACCTAGGGAGGTGGTGGAATCTCCTTCCTTAGAGGTTTTTAAGGTCAGGCTTGACAAAGCCCTGGCTGGGATGATTTAGTTGGGAATTGGTCCTGCTTTGAGCAGGGGGTTGGACTAGATGACCTCCTGAGGTCCCTTCCAACCCTAATATTCTATGATTCTATGAAAATAAATATTGATGTCTCAAATGCACATTAATTGGGGGATCATTGTCATCCATACCTACAGACATCACATATCATGCATGCTCTGATAGCTGACCAATGACTCCATTCAATGGTAGAGAGCATTTTAAGAAAACGGTTAATGGGATAAGGGAAAAGTCTCTTCCTCAGAATAAGCTTCTAGTACATCTGGCAACCATGTGCTCGAAGTTGGGAATGGATACAGGTTTACAGGCCCTAATTCTGTAAAGATTTGTGAACATGCTTAGCTTTATTCACCTTTACCAACTTCAGTGGGATTGCTCATGGTGTGTAAAGTTAAACCAGGCATTGCTTTGGTGCAATATCGAGGCCATAACTTGTAAATAAAAGCTTGTAATTTGGCATGTTGCAATTTGGATGGAAGGGAGATTTATTACTGGGTGTCTTGAATCAGTTGCAAGTACAAGCAATGAAAATCTAGAAGGGTGAGAAGTAGCAAGTCATCTCTGACTTCTAGTCACCCAGCAATGTGGTGCCAGAATTAATCGGACAAATTTTCTGCTAGTATAAGCTCTTGAAATTCCACTAAAGTCAATGGTGTTGTGCTCATTTACATCAGCAGAGAATTTGGTCCAATTACTTTTGTTTCCAAAGAATGAAAAAATACTTGCTTTCTGTGTGTTTGTTTTATTTGCCAATAATGCATGTAAATAGAGGTAATGAGTGGTTAGGGAGGCTTCTTGTGCATAGGATGCTTTGCTTTTGTAAACATTAAAATAAAATTTATTTTTCATGCTGTTCAGGAGTTCATTGGTTATGATTTTCATATAGATAGGTTTTTTTCTCTCAGTGTCCCACTTGGCTTTGTAAAACTTGTCAACTCTAATTGCATCACTCCCTTTGTTCTAAAGTAACTTGTCACACAGCACAATACTTCACAGGGAACATTTTTCAGGCACATTCTTCCACTTTATGATTTGGGGGATTTTCTAAACTAAGCTTGGGTCTGAGAAGATTAGTCCGGAGACTTTGGAGTCCTAGTCAGGGAACTGAAAACTTAGTGAAGAGTTTGGCTTCAACTTAGATTCTGTGCACCCATAGATGTCTTAGAGGTTGTACAGTGTGCAAGTCAGTGCCATATGTGGTCCTAAATGTCAGCTTAGGCCAGCAGAAGCTGGAACTGGGCAGGGTTAGCATTTGATGCTTTTCCAACTTGTTGTAACAGCAATAGTATTGTGCCTTGGTTACATGGGCAGAAGAGAGTGAGTAATTCAGA